TCAGACCACAGGACATGGTTCCAGTAATCCATGTCCTTAGTCTGCTTGTCTTCAGCAAACTGTTTGCGGGCTTTCTTGTGCATCATTTTTAGAAGAGGCTTCCTTCTGGGATGACAGCCATGCAGACCAATTTGATGCAGTGTGCGGCGTATGGTCTGAGCACTGACAGGCTGACCCCCCCACCCCTTCAACCTCTGCAGCAATGCTGGCAGCACTCATACGTCTATTTCCCAAACACAACCTCTGGATATGATGCTGAGCACGTGCACTTAACTTCTTTGGTCGACCATGGTGAAGCCTGTTCTGAGTGGAACCTGTCCTGTTAAACCGCTGTATGGTCTTGGCCACCGTGCTGCAGCTCAGTTTCAGGGTCTTGGCAATCTTCTTATAGCCTACGCCATCTTTATGTAGAGCAACAATTCTTTTTTTTCAGATACTCAGAGAGTTCTTTGCCATGAGGTGCCATGTTGAACTTCCAGTGACCAGTATGAGAGAGTGAGAGCAATAACACCAAATATGTATATAGCCTACATTACAATGAAACAAAATATTATATCAAACAGTATTGCATCTTTTTATTTTCATTTGAACATATTAATAGATTAATTGAATAAAGACCAAAGATTACCTGTTAGATTTACCCAAAACAAATTATATTTTATGTTTAACCACTAAAGAGACATCAGAGCCAGCGGCAAATGTCAGAAGGACTTGCAGAGTTGAGACTGCTCTTGTCGGGAAACATGAGCACTGAGCTCCTGCTGATAGTCTCTGAAACCTTTTGGAAAAAGTACTACCTCGTGAGCAGGGACTTTCTGAGGGGCAATTTTTTACCCAGAACTTTACTTAGATCCTGGTTCCTGCAGTGGAAACACACCGAGTACCAGCCCAAAGTCCCTAGTTCCTGGGTAAAGTTCCAGCAGTGGAAACGCGGCTTTTGTTTTTCACTGTGAAACAGAACGTGTGCCAGGAGAGCCAGCTGACAACGTTGATTGTCCTCTATTTGTTTTTCTTCTCTAGTCACGCTTGATCTTGCGAGTCTCCGTGAGAACTTTTGTCACTGTGAAATTGTTCCTACAATCGACAAGTGTGTGGTCTCGCGGTCTGGTCGAATCGTCTAGTGTGCATTCAGAGGATTATAAGGCTAAAAATCAGTTGAACTGTCTTCAATGTCTGTGGTCTCCCATGGTTTTAAAATCGTTTAAGATTTGAAAAAAGTCTAGTGTGTCCCAGGCCTAAAACTGCAGCGGACATTTTCTTGCTCCACCACTTTTATCAAGGATGCATCAAGAGATGACTTGTGCGAACTTGAGGTAGCCAGGTATCCCAGAATGCATTTCGCACCAACCAGCGAGCGTTAATGGCAGAGGAGAAAACCTGCGTAATTTTCAAAATATTACTGCTATCGTGCCATGAAATGTAGTTTTAAGATCATTTGAGGCAAGAAAGTAGTCGTTTAAAACTCAAATCTGCGGTTTATTTATGAAGATAGGGCCTATTTGAAAATGTGCTTCACTGATTTCAGAGATGCGAGCTCCAGGACGAGATGCGGGCGCTCAGTGCTCATGTATCCACTGAGAGCAGCCTCACCTGGATGTAATAATTAGCCTAGGCTGTTCATCTCATTGTGAAAAAACACATAGCCTATTAATATTTAATTAACAGTAGAAGTCTGCCTTAGAGCGAAAAATAACAGGCTTGATTGCATTACACAAAGCAATTAACAGTAATGCAAAAAATAGTATTGCAATAAACATACTGCAACAAACAGTAGAGCAATAAACAATATTGCAATGAACATACTGCAACAAACAATAGAGCAATAAACAATATTGCAATAAACATACTGCAATAAACAGTATTGCAATAAACATTGTTTATTGCTCTATTGTTTGTTGCAGTATTGCAATAAACATATTGCAATAAACATACTGCAACAAACAATAGAGCAATACTATTGCAATAAATAGTAGTGTAATGAACTGTTTTAACTTAACAAGCTTGGCTCCTCAAATCATCATGTCAGTCTATTCCTCACAGAGGTCCTCTGCCTCACTGGGTTCACTCTCACTGGGTTCATTCTCACTGTCACTCTCATGCTTTGGCTCCACCAGCTCCTCCCACAGAATGTCATCCTCGTGCCCATCCAACGCGTTTGAGATACAGCATCTTTTGAAGCCGTTGATGATGCTCTCTGGGGGCACTGCAGTCCATGCCTGGAGTATCCAGTCACATAGCAGACTTACTGTGGGCTTTTGAATTTTCCCAGATGGTGTGAGTGTATGATTGCCAGACAGCAGCCACTCTGTGTATCTCTTGCGCAGATTATCGTTGAATGGCTTGTTAACCACAACATCCAACACCTGTAGCTGACTTGTCATCCCCCCTGGTATGATGACGAGGTCACCGTTCATTGCATGCAGTTGCTTTTTGACCGGCGAAGTCAGATGTCCACGGAAAGCATCCAAAATTAACATGTTCCTCTTATTTCTGAGTGCCCCACTTCGTCTGCCCCACACCACTTTAAGCCAGTCCACCACAAGCTCAGTCTCCATCCAGCCCTTTTTCTAAGCATGAACGATAATTCCAGCGGGTATTCCCTCTTTGGGTACTGTCTTGCGCTTTAAAAACACGTACGGGGGAAGTTTGGTCCCGTCCGCGAGACACGCTAACATGACGTTCACTCGGCTCTTCTCATTTCCAGTAGATTTCACAATTACTGATTTCTCGCCTTTTTTATGTATAGTGGCAGATGTTGGCATGTCAAAAAACACAGGCGTTTGATCCGCATTACCCATCTGATCCAGGGGATATGAGTGTTTTTTCCTACCGATCACAGCGCTGAAAAGACAGCAGTTTCTCCGTGAAGTCAGAGGGCAAGCGCTGGGCAACACTTGTTCTGCGTCATAATGAGAATCCATTGCACCGCATCATTCTTCTGCACCATCCAAGGCTGGCTTTGAACTTGGTGGGGGGGTATGCCCAGCTCTTTGGCTATTTTCAATGCCTTCAGCTGGATGACGGCTCTGGTTATGGGTAGCCCCTCGTTTCTTTTATCGGCTACGTACTGACAAACTTGTCGGTCAATTTTTTGAAGTGGCTGCTTTTAGGACCGCGGCAAGCTTTTCTTTGACTATTAGCATTTCTAAGACTGTCTTTTTGGGCTCGCCATCTCCTGACATTACATTCTGACATGCCGTATTTCTTGGCTGCTTGACAGTTGTTAGATGACTCGGCTGCATTTATCACCATGAGTTTAAAAGCATCATAAGCTTGCCTCAGTTGCTGGTTTACTTGGCCGATTTTTGAACCGTTATGTTCTGGACAGTCACTCACCATCATGCAGTCCTGGTACTGTAAACGACCATCATTTATCAGTTTGCTTCAGTCCAGGGGAACTCATTTACCTGTAGGCTATTTGGCTCCACCTATTTTTGCGGGTGTACTGTATTATTTACATGTAATCGTCTAGAGCTCGAATATAAGACGACATTGTTTATTGAGATGCATTTCCATGAAAAAAAATATCGTCTTATATTTGGGACAATACGGTATTTACGATTTGAGTTCGGGGATGCTCCGTCTCAATCGGGAGCAGATAAATAATCACAATCACACCACACAATAGAGGATTTTTTGGACAAAAAAAAATCGTTTGCAACAAGCAAACACCCCCCGATCGTTCGGGGATGCAAATCGGCCTTAAAATCATCTAGTGTGTGGCCAGCCTTAGATTTAGTTTGTCATAATAGAAACAACCTTTAGAGCTGTTGAATAATATAGATAGAGCTGCAAATAATAAGGGACACTTTGTTCCATTTTTTGTTATTTTTTGTTATTTTTCCAAGTTACTGAGAAACAAACTGTTTTTGCTTTTATTTTAGATTGTATTGAAGAAAGTGAGGAGAATGAAGAATTGAGTGAAGATGAAGTGAAACGTGTCAAAACTGGAGAAAAATCTGTGAGTTGCTCTCAAACCAAACAGAAAGATTTAAAGAAAAGAGGAGCCAATAAATATTTCACCTGCACTCAGTGTGGAAGGAGTTTGACATGCAAATATAGTCTTGATGTTCACATGAGAGTTCATACTGGAGAGAAACCATTCATTTGTGATCAGTGCGGGAAGAGTTTCTCACAATCGTTAAGCCTTAAGGATCACATGAACATCCACACTGGAGAAAAACCATACACATGTGATCAGTGCGGGAAGAGTTTCACACAAAAAGGAAGCCTTATGACACATATTAGAATTCATACAGGAGAGAAACCGTTCACATGTAATCAATGTGGAAAGAGTTTTGCATTCTTAGCAAACTTTAAGGTACACATGAACATCCACACTGGAGAGAAACCTTACAAGTGTTCACACTGTGACAAGAGATTCAGTCAGTCAACAACTCTGAAAACACATGAGAGGATCCACATTGGAGAGAAACCGTACACATGTGAACAGTGCGGGAAGAATTTTGCACGAAAAGGAATCCTTATGACACATATGAGAGTTCATACAGGAGAGAAACTGTACACATGTATTCAATGTGGAAAGAGTTTGAAATGCAAATATAGTCTTGATGTTCACATGAGAGTTCATACGGGAGAGAAACCGTTCACATGTGACCAGTGCGGGAAGAGTTTCACACAATCAGCAAGCCTTAAGAGACACATGAATATCCACAATGGAGAGAAACTGCACACATGTGATCAATGTGGCAAAACATTTTTGTGGGCTTCAGTCCTGAAGAAACACCTGACAGTTCATACAAAGGAGAAGCCACATTCATGTTATTTATGTGGAAAGAGTTTTTCATGTTTACAAAGTTTGAAAGTACATCAGAAAATACATACTGGTGTGAGAGAGTACGTGTGCTGTGAGTGTGAAAAGACTTTTACTTCAGCAAACTGTTTAAAACTGCACCAGAGGATTCAAACTGGAGAAAAACCTTACAAGTGTTCACACTGTGACAAGAGATTCAGTCAGGCATCGCATCTGAAAACACACAAGAGGATCCACACTGGAGAGAAACCGTATCACTGCACTGCATGTGGGAAGTGTTTCAATCGTTCATCTGCTCTACACAGACATACAAAAAACATTCACAGTAAGTATTCAAGATTCAGCTGACATTCTGATCAAATCAAAGATGGAGTTCCTCCCCAAATAACAATGTCAAAACATTTTATTATTGTGCTTTCTTATTTTTGTTCACTGTTGTTTTTAAAATGACTAATTATTCTTCCACTTAAGATGTATTTAGAAAATGCAGATGCAAGATATACTGTCACGTAGCTTTGCAACTGATCCTTATTTGCTTCTCTTGTAAGAAGGGATGGGTAACAGAACATGGTATTTAATGGGCCATTTTTTTCATGAAAAAAAAAGAATAATGTATTGTTTGTCTTGTATTGTATAGTAATAACATACTTTTTTTTCTGTATTACAGATGTTTAACTCTTTCCCCGCCAGCATTTTTTTAAAAAGTTGCCAGCCACCGCCAGCGATTTTGATGATTTTCACTAAAATTTGATGGCCTCCATTATATTTTGCTATATGAATATTTGAATATGCAATACACCAAAATAAAGATCAGAGCCTCTACTTTTAAACAAAATAATCAATTTTATTCTAGTTTACACTTGATATAGTTGGGTTTCATAAAAATGCAACATTTTTATCAAAAACGACATCTGGATAATATTCAGTACGATTATCAAAGCATAAATCCAGTAAATCGCTTCCATCAACACCTCCATATACCACTTCCCGGATCAACATTTTACTCTGTAACATTATGCCGTTTTCATTTATATGCTGTCTATTGCTGACTATGGCATTATTTTCATATGCATCTGTTTACATAAGAGAGCGCTCGTTTCTCCATCCTGTTCACGTGTGTTTTTGTTCGGGAGGTTTTGTACTCGTTCAGAAGATGCGTAATTGCGTCCCCGACTGTATAAGTTAAAGGGGTCATATGATGCAATTAAAATTTTTCCTTTCTCTTTGGAGTGTTACAAGCTCTTGGTGAATAAAGAAGATCTGTAAAGTTGCAAAGACTAAAGTATCAAATCCAAAGAGATATTCTTTATAAAAGTTAAGAGTTAACCACGCCTACCTAAAATGGCTCGTTCTAACACACCCCCACATATCTACCTCACTATGTGGGAAGATTTGCATAACGCAGCCCAAATGTTCACGCAAAGAAAGAAGGCGTAACTTTTATTCTCACTGTAGTATTGTTGCCGCTGCCGCCATGTCGTGAAGGCGCTGTGTGCTGCGTTGTGAAAGCGAAACTACTTTGTTTGGTCTTCCAAAAGAAGACGATATCCACTTCGTCATGCCTGGAGCTGATCTGTGCTGGTCGCTGAGGGAATACATCAACTTAGTGCTGTGGATCACCGGATCGGCTTTCACCATGGACGAAGCGGCCGTTCTCAACCCTGCCGCCTCTGCTCACTCTAGCCCGGCCTCAGCTAACGCTAAGCCGCAGCTTCCGCTCACACTAGGCCACCATGTGTTCCGTTGTGAAAGCGAAACTACTTTGTTTGGTCTTCCAAAAGAGGACACGACTACAAATCAGTGGTTAAGTTGTATTTACAACACTGTTCCAAAACAGTTTAACCCAAATATCCAGATGTGTGCAGCACATTTTATGGAGGATGTTTCCTGATCATGGGAGAGTAGACTACAATGCCGGCAGTTCTGACTCACAGTCTGTAAGTATGTTATAATTTAAAGGATTTGCCACTGATGATTAAACGCGAGTTTTGGGCAGTGTAGAGTAGCACTTGATGTTGGTAATTTCTCCGATCACAAATGCAGACAGATGTAAAAAGATGGAATTATGTCGCCACTGGATGCAACAAATGCCTCGTTTGTAATGGGTTTTAATGTTTTTGTCTCGTTGCTCCGGCCGGGACCCAGCATCAACAGTATGGTGAGAGGCGTAACATTTCCGTCACATGCTATTCGGCCAATCACAACGCACTGGATAGCTGGCCAATCACAGCACACCTCGCTTTTCAGACCGATGAGCTTTGTAAAAATCGACGCGATTTCATTACACCAAATACACAAAATAATGTTCTTTATAGCAGCATCATATGACTCCTTTAAAACACGGAAAACCGTAAAAATTCTAATTTCACTATACTTGTATAGTGACAATAAAGAATCTTGAATACCATTAGAGAACTGGACTGATGTGCAGTATCGTAAGAATAGTAATACGTTAACATTTTTTAACAATACCCATCCCTACTTGTAAGTCAGTAGGAGAGAGGTCTATCTCATTAGTTTTCACTTTTACTTTCAGTAATTATTTATCAATTTTGCTTTGAGGAATTGACCGTTTGCAAAGACCCACCCTCCTTAGTTACTGTTGCTATGTCCGACAGACAATGCCGCTCTCACACTCACGCAGTGAAAAATACACTGCAGAGTTGTATTTTTCATACCAGAGTTACTTCTGGTATGAAACAAGGTCTCAGGACTCTCAGCTTTCACATTTGGTCATTTTTAAAGAAATTCAAATAATACTGTTTTGTGGCTCTTTAATGTGTCGTGACAGATCACTGTAGCGCCTCAGTTCAGTTCCCAATCAGGGTGAAGTTCATGGGATTTTGTCCACAGAATGATAAGAGCACACATTATTTGAACATATTTTATTATTTCACACTATTATTTTAACTTAAGCGCTGCAAGCCATGCATACAGCGCTGAACATGGACTAATTTTCTGGTACGCAAAACAAGTACTTTAAAGGAATTCCTTTAGCGTATTGCCGTTACTGTGGCAGCCAACAACAGCACAGCTTAAAGGCCTTTCCACACTGAGCGTGAGAATAAGATTTGAACTAGGATCATGTGACCGAAGCAGTTGCTGTTGCACAAAAGGGTGAGAGTGGTGGCGCGGTTTCGAAAACCATTGTAAACAAACACCGAAGAAGAGTTCTTGTTATCGTTGGTTTTTGAGAACAGATTTATTCTCACTTGTTCTTTATACAGAATAACATTTCTAATAATTATCCACTGAATCATGTGATCTGTAGAGCACCGTCTGTTTTCTTCCACGTGATGATCTGTATTAAAAAAAATGAGTGAAACATTTTTCTACACATGAAATATGAAAACAAATAGACATGACTATATATTTTCTGTATGTTTGGTATGCAGCTCATGGTATTTTTATAGCAATAAAGGATGTTTATGACAAATATTATAGTGGCTAAGCAAATACATTAATATTTACATACATTTTCAAGTGTAGCTTGATGCTAATTGTACTTCTAATTATATTTTAGGATGTAGACAATTCTTTTAAGCATTATAGATATAATTGAATTGAATAGCTTTTATTGTCATTGCAAGCAGAGCAAACAACAAAATTCTTAAAGCACCTCTGTGGTGTAAAAACACAAAACACCAAAAACATATAAATATAATATAATAATAGAGACAAGACGGGTCGTTTTAAAGGTGCTATAGAATGCATTGATACAACATTTTAAATTGTTCTCTGATACATCGAAGGTGGCTTGGCAAAGATTGGCAAAAAATCTCCAGAAACAGGTTTACATGTCCATTTACAACCCTATAGGATTTGTCCCTAAAATGAAATTGTGTTTTTACCTTATTTGGAAAGTCCATGAATAATAATGTTGAGCTCTGCTCTGATTGGCTGTTTCACAGTGCGGCTCAATGTTGAGCTCTGCTCTGATTGGCTGTTTCACAGTGCGGCTCATTTCAGTAGCTCACACAGCAGGAAGGAAACACAGGGAAAATATAAATATAATGTAATTTCAATACTGTCTCTGGCACTTATATCATTGGGTAATTATACTGCATGAAAAGGTGCGTTTCCGGACTGTTCACGTCAGCGCACTAACCCGTAAACGGAACGTTTGCGGCAATTATGCACTTATAAAAACTGTCAACAAAGCTACAAACACAGCAAAGCATCAACAAAACAAAATTTTTATGATAAATTAAATTAATGTTTTATGCCTTCATTTGATAACCAGAAAAATGTAAATATACAACACAGAATTTCTGAGGGGGAAAAAAATTCATAAGGCTACTTTAAGAAAAAAAAGGAATAAATTAAGTTGTTTTATGCATTCAAATAATTAGACAAGCTAAAACACAGAATTTGCTAACAATAAAAAATATAAATAATATGGTGAGAAAAAATAAAACATTTCATAGGGCCCTAAACATGTAATATTTGTTAAACTTTTAATAAATTGATGTGAAAATGTATAAGTTTCATGATTTTAATTAATAAGACATGCTTTTTAATTAATAAAATTTTATTTAACTATTAAAAAGGAGTCGAGAAAAATTTTAACGAAAAAAAAAAACTGAATCCAGAAAAATTAAAATGGAAAAAACGGAATTTGGAAAACAATTTAATGGAATTTAGGGAAAAATAAAACGGATTTCATAGGGCCCTAACTATCCCTCAGCCTTGCCGCGCCCCTCAGTTTTGGGAACCACTGCTTTATTCTTTTAAATGGATACATTAATCGTGTTTATTATATATGTTTTTTATTAAAGTGGAAATCAGTTTACTAAATAATGTAAACTTGACTG